ATATATATATATAGTAGTATTATTATATATAGTATTATTATATATATATATATATATATATATACGGATATACGGATATACACTTTTGTATGTATGTATTTAATTTTGAGCGAGTTGATGCCTTTCTTAAACTACGAGATGGATCCCTTTGATCTATGCAGTCAAATAGAAACTCTCCGAAATTGTGAACTGATCCGAGAGGCAGAGGTCAAGCTTATCTGTGCGAAGGCGCGGGAGATATTGGTAGAGGAGAGCAATGTGCAGCAGGTCAGCTCACCCGTAACGGTACGTATACCGACCTCTATCTGCTTCTAGTTTGGTGTATGAGTATGCAATCCTCAACACTTATGGATACATGGGATATTGACAACATACTCTTGGTACTGAGTGGTGTTTCATCTGCGTTCATGTATTATTTGTTGATAGGCGCGACACTCCGTATCGAGTCAGCTCACATCGTAGCCTCACACGAATTGAAAAACACACTTTGTATGTTTGCGCCCATGGTATTTTTGGGCAGCGGATGGTTTAGCACTGATTCGCGGACAACTCCTTAATTGTAGCGTTATTTGTAGCGCTCTTGTGGCTAGTTGGAAGTATAGTTCACAGGAGGTCGATTTAACTTTGAATCCAATCAGAACAGCTGGTAGGATTTTCATCTCCTAATTACGTTCTACCAACTACTCCTCAAACTGGAAGAATTCGATAATTTTTACAACGTTTAGCGTACGAGCTAAACGAGGCATGTGTGCACTCAGTTGTAACGAAGTATATACCCTGGTGTAGGAGCTTAATTATTAAGTTCTTTAGCGGATGGTTTAGCACTGATTCGCGGACAACTCCTTAATTGTAGCGCTCTTGTGGCTAGTCGGAAGTATAGTTCACAGGGGGTCGATTTAACTTTGAATCCAATCAGAACAGCTGGTAGGATTTTCATCTCCTAATTACGGTCAGCCAACTACTCCTCAAACTGGAAGAAATCGATAATTTTTACAACGTTTAGCGTACGAGCTAAACGAGGCGTGTGTGCACTCAGTTGTAACGAAGTATATACCCTGGTGTAGGAGCTTAATTATCAAGTTCTTTATGCGAAGCTATCTGTGGCGGGCACGTGCTTGGCTTGCATATATATTGTCATACAAACCTATGGACGTTACGTTGTACAATACTATGGCACGCTTATCCTCGCATAAACCAATCCAACACATGTCTCGCGAGACTGTGCGAACCAGTCCCTACGTCGTCTATTTCTTCTACAACTTCATATTCGCCATTGTTGACCATATGATAGCTGGCTTACTTCGTCAATGGTCACACCTTCTCTACTGTACTAAATTGTCTTCAGTCTCACCTACTTTTAAGCACTCCATTATCCGACCTTTTACCTGCAGATCTGTGGGGACGTGCACGGACAGTTCTACGACGTACGTGAACTGTTCAAAGTGGGAGGCGACATCCCCACCACAAACTACCTATTCCTGGGTGATTTCGTAGACCGAGGCTACTTTTCCGTCGAGACTTTCCTCTTATTATTAGCTCTGAAGGTATGGGGTTTAGGGTTTAGAGAACTCTAAAACTTGCGGATGGTAGCGTAAAACTATCGGGCAGATGCGATGATGGGTACATACCAGATCATGGATAGTGTGCGTCTACTGATTGATCTTTCATATTTTGGGACTATTGTTTGAGGATTGGCGAACACCCACGAACACAGTTCCGCACACAGGCAGCTGTATTAGCCACACAGGTTCAACCGCGTGCGTGCGTGTATATGCGTGTGTTGTCTTCCAGTTGTGGGGTCTAACACCCGTTCTTCTGCAATACACAGGTGAGATACCCCGATCGCATCACGCTTATCCGTGGTAACCATGAGAGCAGGCAGATCACTCAAGTGTACGGCTTCTACGACGAATGTCTGCGCAAATTCGGCAGCGTCAGCGTCTGGCGTTATTGTACTGAGATCTTCGACTATCTCTCTCTATCCGCACTAGTGGATAATAAGGTACGTATGGTCGTGTGTATATATCAATGTGTGTATGTTTGAGTGTACTGTACTGAGATCGTTGACCATCTCTCTTTATCCGCACTAGTGGATAATATGGTACGTATGTACGTGTGCATATGCAATGTGTGCTTGTTTGTATGTTTGGTTATATGTACGAAACGCTTTTTATCTCTACGCGTGGTTGCATGTGCATGAAATACATATTTATGCACATCTGCCTTAAATTTCAATTTCAGTTAATATTTATGTACACGTGTATGCAAGTGCGTTTCGAAGCACTAGGATCTGTAGAATACTTAAATTCCACTCATAAGACGAGAGTTATTTTGTACACAGAGATCGGCTGTGTAAAGACTTAGTAGGCTAGCGAATATATATTCAAGTATATGTATCTATGTGCCAATTGTTTACCAAAGATTCTTTTGGCTGGCACGTGCATATATCTGTGAGCTCACATTCTCATCAATCACTCGCCCGATTCTTGTAAATAGCTATGGATGACCCAATATATATATATCAACCATCCGCACTTGCACGGGTATTTTGACCACATACTCGTCAAACATTCGATTGTACGTACCTTTAGTCACCACCCCTTCCTTTTACACGTACCACGTGCACGTATCTCACCATCCCCTTCCACTGATACAGGTATTGTGCGTACACGGGGGTCTATCTCCGTCAATCAACACGTTGGATCAGATTAGAACCATCGACCGAAAGCAGGAGGTGCCGCACGACGGGGCTATGTGTGACCTCATGTGGTCAGATCCTGAGCAAATGGAGGTGTGTGTGTCTGCGTTTGTCAATGTATCTTCATGTTATAGCAAGTCTTAGTATGCTGATATTGTTGTGTTTCTATGGTGTACTATTCGACGATGTGCGTAGATCTTGAACAAATGGAGGAGTGTGTGTATGTGCGTGCGTCGGCCAATGTAATATCGTGCCTACCTACAATACTTGTTGTTACTTTGAGCTCGTGCGCGGTCTTATATCACGCGTACGCTTACTTGCCCATGGGTGCGCTTCGCTGGGATTATTGATCTCCTGCGTAGTTGGAGAAGCCCTTGTTTGTCTCATCCGTATTGGCCGGTTTTCTGTCGTTTCGCTTCTTGCCACACACTTTGTGAGTCGACCTATGTAGCGTATCTAGACACGCGTACCTATTCGCCTTCCTCAGCTTCGCCTGGTGTTATGAAGTCAATGGATCACTAATTGCAGCATATCTACACACGTGCGTATACACCTTCTCTCACTCAGCAGGGCGATTTGGGTAGCTCACCTACCCACTCATACATAGTCGCTCTCTCGCTCCCTCACTATGTGTCCGCCCAGTTAGCCAATTCATCTATCCATCAGATGTATATCACACCCACACCCATTAAAGCCGTTCCCTTCTCCTGGCTTCGTCCCATGCAGGGTTGGGGTTTGTCCCCACGTGGTGCCGGTTATCTGTTCGGCGGTGATGTGGTGGCACAATTCAACGCGGCTAATGGTCTCGATCTCATTTGTCGGGCACACCAATTGGTTATGGAGGGTTACAAGATGATGTTTGACGATAGTATATGCACGGTTTGGTCTGCGCCTAATTACTGTTACAGGTGGGTGCATGCCTGGGCTATTTGGAGTGGGTATTGTATGTCTATGGGAGCGCCCCGTTTTTTGTCACCATATATCGATGGAGTTGAATGAATTAGCTCGGGTTGGTCTGTGCCGACTGACTGTCCTAAGCGGCTTGAACATGCGGGATGGTGTACAATAAATGTGTGTCTTAAAGTAATATATACTGTATGATTTACATGATATTTGCGATTCGAGTGGCAAGGTTATGTATGTATGTATGTATGTATGTATGTATATATGTATGTATGTGTGCGTGTATGTATGTATGTATGTATGTACGTGTGTATGTATGTAATGTATGTGTGTATGTGTGTGCGTGTATGTATGCAAGTATGTATGCATGTATTTATGTATGTATGCATGTGTATGTATGTATTTATTTATTTATGTATTTATGTATGTATGTATGTATGTATGTATATATTTAAGAGTAAGTTTAGTCCATCTATTATCGCTGATCAATGCACGCGTTATAATGTATTCAGGTGCGGAAACGTGGCTTCGATCTTAGAACTAGACGAGAATTTGGTCCGAAAATTCAAAATATTCGAGGTGAGTACACACGGTTGCAAACTACCGATATACACGGCTATTAGGTCTCGGCGCCAATTCAACCCCAAATGCAATACATATTCCTGTTACTAACATTTACGTAACACGATCAGGATTTGACTGTCTGCTAGCTCGTTAATGTTTAATGTGTTGTGCAAGGGGAGGGTATTCGTTTATCCTTAATCGAGTATATACTAGCAACACCGCCGGGCTAAATTATCTATCAAAGCCTGTGTTCCTGCTTGAGCGTTTACTTATACCTCAACCATTCCGGTAGTCTTGATAGCCCAGCTTCGTAATGGTATAGTCAGCATCTCGGAATGTGCTCCCTGCACATGTGGTCAGTCCAATTTCAGTGCAGTACATCTTCACACACACGCCTTAATTCTTATTGTCAATTTTGCTGCACCCCCCCCCCCCACCACACACACGCACACACACACGCACACACAGGCGGCTCCTCAAGAAGAGAGAAACTTACCCTCAAAGAAACCCATTGCCGATTATTTCCTCTAAATAAATACATATTTGACATCCAAAGTGGTATTGAGCAAGCAAGTGGGCCTTTAAAAACGTGATTCTTTTTAAATATACTTTAGATGCTATTCGATCAATGTCTTTAAAAACGCGATTTTTTAATAAATATACTATAGATTCTTTTTCATCTATACAAGTGTGCTAACTTGTATAATTTAGAAGGTTATGGCTAACTTTTCTTTCGATGGGGTTTTTATACTATGTTATTCGAGGGATGACCGAGCTCCCTCTCGAGTGCTATGCTTGCTGAGGCATTTGCTTTTAGTCTAAGAGTTACGAATAGGTTGTTGAATGGGAGCCTACTTATAGTTTCGCTTGGTATGTATTTGCGTACTTGTTTTTTTGAGCCCCTTCCTTCACCTAGAAAGTTGTAATTGAATCTGGGCGAGGCTGAGGTCCGACTAACTGAAGCGATTCTTTTCTAAAAAGTGAAAGACACCGCCATCGTTACCTTCAGCGTTCAAGTGATTACTATTTAAATACGCACAGTAGTGTCAACCATCTTGGGAGTCTGATCAACCGTCAATGCCCGTGGATGCATAATATGTAGAAAGATGTGGAAACTTTTTGTTTGGTGAAATTATAGATAGAACAAGAAGAAAAATGTCGAGTACTGTACATAGGTTTTTTTTATACATTTATACGTAATATACAAATAGAATTCGTATATACTGGCACATCTCTAACAAATTTTCCCTTTAATTTGTCATTAAAATAAACTCACATGAGGAACTGTTCGAGGGAAGAAATCCCCAAGCAAATCAACCAATGGTTTAAAAAGGATAAAACGGAACGATACATTTACGATTTCGACCATATATATCATAGTTGCGTATTTTTTTTCTGGGAGAGAGGAGGGGTACCGATAATTAACTAAAACTTTATTATTCGCCCACTAAACCACGTTATGTTGTTCTTGAAACCTAAACCTTACATTAAGCTACGCTGTATTGTTATCAATACCCAAGACCGCCCAGCTAGAGGGTTCAGGGGTTGCCACTCTGCACTCTACTCACAGCTCACAAGCCTTCCATAAACTCGTTGTACACCGCAACCGATCCCAACGCCTTCACCTGTCGGAAGGTCGAGTCCAGATTGCTGAGGATGGTACCGAACTTCTTGTAGTTCACCCCGTTCTCCTCACACACCTTCTGCACCACCGGCTGTATCTTGCTGTAGTGCGCATGACTCATCCTGGGGAACAAGTGATGCTCAATCTGATAGTTCAGGCCGCCGTTGGAGATGCCAAGCTTCTCTCCGCAGACGTTCGAGGACGACTCGATTTGATGCCTGTAACGCAGAAGCGACGGGAACGGTAAGAGTGACAGACGAGGGGCACAAGCGAAATTGTGGTAGTGAGACTCACGGGAGCGTCTAATCGTTGTGCGTATGTGACTGTGTACGTCTTTGAGACAAAGTGTATAGAGACATATACAAGGTCTAATACATGTAGGTTTCTTCACCCCCCAAAAAAGGGGTTTGGGTGGGATCGCTCATGACTCATAGAGGTTGTGAGGCCGTTTGAGCGCTCGTTGGATTCAGTCAATTGTTCGACTTGGCGATGAGTTGCCGGAGGCAAATTGTGGACTACAATTAGGACTGTTCTGTCCAGACGGTTTGGTTAGTGGTAGAGACCACTGATGGGTGAAAATGAGAACAAAACTAGGCTCTCAGACTCAAGCGCTGGCCGATCTACACATGTAGGGCATGTTATATACGCATACTAACGAGATAAACACATAAAAACAAAAATTTCACGCCGAAGAAGTTGCTTCGCGTAACTCACCTAGCCCAATCAATGTTCTTGGCATCCTCCGGCAACGACTTAGCCCCCACGAAGATGTGCGACAGAATGAAGAAGAAGCCCAGGTACAGAGCAGCAATGGCCATCCACAGGTAGGTGCAGAGGAGCGTGTACCACGAGAAATGCAGGGCAAACGGTACAACTGGGATGGGAGAGGTTGGGTAGTAAGTATCAGTACAGGCCAGGGGTAGAGTGTGAGGAGGTATGGCTTCTCTGCCTTGCAGTTGTGCACGGGTGAGTGTGGCGGTGGCGGGCTGTGTTGTGAATCTGCGGGCGTCCGACTGTTGAGCCCAGTCAACGGACACAAAACACAGAAATAGGTGGGGTGTATTACATAGGTCCAAGTAATTGTGTGGGTGTGTGGAGAAATAAAAAATATAAATATAAATGATTGGTAAATATGGAGGTTCCAATCAATAAACCACGCTCAACAACGTGCACAACAGAATCCCAACACCGTAGAGTGTATAGGTTTTATCCACTTCGACAGTCCTTTGCGTACATATTCCTGCCTCTCAATAGGATCTGAATGAGACAAGCCAGATGCTAGATACGTGATGGCCTATTGAGATATGGCAAAAGCCTGATACATATTCGGCTATCCCAGAGAGTTAAATAATCAGTCGATGCTTATACCTAGCGAGCCAATATTCAGACTATCTGTCTTAACGTTCTAGAGGAACTATCACAGCGTATGCGTGAATACAAAAGCCACCAGGATTAGCTATCGTCTCGGAGAGGTTATAGAAACCTGATGTGCAATGCTCAGCAGGAATTATACAGGCCTCGGCGAATGCATCCCAATATTATTTTACATACAAATATCAAAGAAGCGTCAGGGATAGGGCACATGACAATACAAACACAAACATTGCATCGTCCCACCTCCTGTTAGACATACAGTCGTATGTTTTGCATATGAAACCAAATCTACAGAGCCGCACAGACTGCATACTGAAACATCACTATAAGCCCCACAATGACACTGTCAGGTATGTACGATTGCGAGTGCGAGGACACAGTGACCATGGCCTTCGTTGGTGACACCACTGTAGGGTTTCACGAGCTTGTGCATAGACAACGAGACAATGTGTTGTTTTCATAACAGACTGCTTTAAGTTCGCGTTTGTATGCTTACCGAATTTACGGATGAAAAAAAAACACGAAGGCCGATAGCGATGTTTCGCTCCTTTCGGTAGCTCTCCGGCAGCTTTTCTCCCTTGTACTTCATCTCAATCAGGTCGTGCAACCCCAGGAACACCCATTGGAATCCTAAATCAAAACAAATCGCCAGTATGCACCAGTAATGTAAGCCGAAGATATCGCAGAACGGGGCATACAGACATCAATACATACGGAAGGTCAACGGGCCAAGCATGAGTTGCAAAGCCAGCGAACGCTAACGGCGAGTTGTGGTATACATTCAGACAAAAGAGATATCGCATGTATCTAACGCGCCCATACCGAGCAGTTGGATCAACGGCAGGAAGTAGTACTGCTGGATGTGGTGGAATTCCTTGGGCAGAGAATACCGCGACAGAGTGATGACTGAGCCGCCCCTATTGGGAAAGAGTCAGGCATCGCAAAGGTTTCAGGGTTTAGGGTTTCGATCATAATACGTCAGTGCACAAGGTGACAGCCTAAGTTGACAGTAAAGTTTGTTGCGCAATACAGCAAGGTGCACTCGGCATAACTTGATAGAAAGTATCGGACATACTCCGCATGAGACGCTTACTTTACATCTGGGTCATGCTGATGCCTATTGCAGTGTGTATGGTGACCAACAACATGCTGGCGGATCCACAGCATACGCGATCCCCCGATCCAATCCTGGTATGGCGAAAACAGCACAGCAAAGATATGTCAGATGCAACACAATAGCCGATCGATGCAATATGAGCGACAGTATACCACTGATTGCATACTCGCTTTTACATGGCCAAGTCAGCCTAGAGCTTCTAGTACCAATTTTTTGACAAAGGCAATGGGACATAGATATCTGAATGACAGCGGTGTAGACTCAACCATACTGAACTGAGTGCACGTGCAAACCAAACAGCCAACACAACCTCCAGATGAGCGTTCCATGTAGCAGAGTACACCCATCGGTGCCCAAGACCAAAAGGCTCGACCCTAACAGCGCGTTGTATGCAAAACAATGAACAAATCCGCAGATGAAGAACCACAACAGTTCAGATCCATTCGGAAACACAAACCTGAGAGTAACCGAATAATCGATTAACCATGGGATTCCTGCTCACGGACCCGTGGTTGGCATCGTGCTGAATGTTTAAGCCAATTGCGGCGTACAGCAGACCGGAAACGATCGCCAACGGAATGGTGGGCCCAGACGCAATCCACAAGTAGTCCGTGTAGAGGGTTGCTGCTAGAATAGCACAGGCTTTGATGTACCTAATCGGACAGGGCGTGAAGCATCAACATTAGAATTCGTGTGAACTATTGAAATGCGAGACGGAAAGCGAAGAGATGATTGTGAGGCTTCCACAAGCATCAGTGTACGATATATATATATATATATTGATTACGCGCTCCGACAAGAGCATATGGGATTAGTACATGACATATTGGAGCTCATCATGTAAACCATAATTCAATGATATCAGTAAAAAATACTGCGATTGCAGCATATATGCAGATGTACTTCCATTCATACTTTTATTGTATATGCGTAAGGTGGTGATCCAGATATCAGCTGACAATATTGAGAATCGAAGTGTATTGGGTTCAAAATATCTATCATGTGCATAACTTGAAGCAATAAACTTTTGACGTAGGTAGTAGAGTATTGTATCGCAGCCAATTCGAAAACACAACATATGCGTACGTAGTCCACAAAAGCATATGCCCGACAAAACACGAGATACGATACGTCAATCATAAATAGCTCACAATTAAGCCAAGATCCACAGATCTAAACAGGTGCTATAAATCCCTAGACATGATTGGCTTATATAAACCTCTTTATCAGCTCATTTGAACCAATTTTCGGCTTAACTACAGCAGACAACTGCCCGAGAGCAGTGGTATATACACACTATTGGAAGACAGCTGTGGCCTAAAATTGCCAAAAACAGAGATAGGCGTGGCATACGTCCGCTCTCTCCGCATATCAGAATGGGGACAGTCAAATATAACTTGAAACTACGCTAAAAATTGCATTGAAACTAAGATAAGAAGCGCGATTCAACTAAGCTAACAATCGCATTGAAACTAAGCCAAGAACCGCATAGAAACTAAGCTTAGAAGCGCGATACAACTAAGCTAACAATCGCATTGAAACTAAGCCAAGAACCGCATAGAAACTAAGCTTAGAAGCGCGCTATAATTAAGCTGACAATCGCATTGAAAATAAGCCAAGAACCGCATAGAAACTAAGTTCAGAATCGCAGATTGGCTCAGACTATACCAAGCGTGCCACAGATCCCACCCTACACACACATACCACGACGGGGGCGCCCACCATTCTTGCATGGGCATGACCTTGCGCACTGCAGACTTGATCTGCTTCATCAGCGGTGTGTGGTACACATAGCTGTCATCTCTGGCTACACTGCCCACCTTGTACTCGGCCAGAACAGACGGTAGCGATTCGTATTGGTGCAGCATGTAGAAGTGAGGTGTGGCATCCTGTAAGGCGCGTAGGGCGTGTTACAGTGATATTACTATATAGTCGATTCGTGTTGGTGCAGCATGTAGAAGTGGGGTGTGGCATCCTGTAAGGCGTGTAAGGAGTGCTACAGTGGTATTACTATTTATTAGATTCGTATTGGTGCAGCATGTAGAAGTGGGGTGTGGCATCCTGTAAGGCGCGTAGGGAGTGTTACAGTGATACTACTATATAGTAGATTCGTATTGGTGCAGCATGTAGAAGTGGGGTGTGGCATCGTGTAAGGCGCGTAGGGAGTGTTACAGTGATATTACTATATAGTTGATTCGTATTGGTGCAGCATGTAGAAGTGGGGTGTGGCTTCCTGTAAGGCGCGTAGGGAGTTTTACAGTGATATTTATACATAGTATACGCTTAAAAGCGAAGAGCATTGGAGAATGGGGTTGCGGCACAGTGGTGTCAGCTGCACGCACGGTTGGTTGACTTTGTACTACATAATACCATACATCATTGCACAAACTATCTATATATATAGGGCAAACGATTGTAGCGTCTGCGACGTGATACTCACACAGCCAGAGATCCATATAGAACACCTCAGTACCATAGCACGGCGAACTGATCGAGATGGGGATATACATTATCAAGGACCTTTACTGTGAACCATCATGTATACGAAAACACATGGTAACAAATCTGATAATCGGAAGGTGATATGATACTGTGGCACAGGGGCGTTGTGTTTGGGGTATAGAACACCTGTATTGTGCAGATATGTAGGATCTCAGTCGCAGCTAGCACAGCATTAAATCAATTCACTGATGACACCAAGAAGAACATATATGGCACACGGCCAGCCTGCCTTGAACGCTTTACCATTCATCACAACCCACAGATATCTATCTCCTTCAATCTTTTGTTCACTTCAACTAACGAATATATACGTTGATGAGTCTTCGGCAAAAAAAAAATGATTGTGTGTACAAGCCCTCCCCCAAAATGTAAATGTACTAGGCAATACAACAGCATAACCTCCTAAAATAACAACAAAATCAGGAAAGCACTGAATCCCCCGAGGCAACATCATACGTAAAAAGTATACTATTCACATTCTTCAAACATAAATACGTACCTGTCCGGGAAAGAAGTCCAGAACATCGCCACCAGGATGCTTATCCCTGAAGTTCGTGAGATCATACACACCATCCTCCAAGATGCAGTACTTGTCATTGGTGTGGTTGAGGATCTCTTCTCGCGTGAAGTGCTTCATCTTCAGATCACTAAGCTCGGGATCTATTTTTCAATAGCAACATAACACATGAGATGGTAATATATGTTAGAACTGGCCACAGGCGAAGATGGTGCTCGTGGATAGACCAGGTGAGACTATTGCGAACTTCAAGGATCTCAAAGTTGAGGAGATTTTGATTATAGTCTTATATCCGAGGATGCCCAAGTGGGTGCTACTAGTGTATAGCTTGCACGATTTCATTCCGGAACCTTTCCTCAACTGATTGAATATCCAGTAATCGATGCTCGTATATGTCAACGACGAGACTTTAACAGACCACAGGCTACAAATACGTATGATGTGTGAGCGTAGGTATCTCTGCGCGGTTTGTGGTTAGAAGTCAACCAAGACACTTTTCGTATATATGAAGTATGGCACTATAGCTCAAGACACAAATATTGACCTTATACATGGGCACTTGTGCACCTGCCTACAGTTTCACAGTCACCTTGGACACAAGACAGCATTTCATACGTATAATCTGACATGCTAGCTTGTTGTTAGTACATGTTTCTAAAATCTCACACACACTTCGTCGTTGCATGTGAAGTACAAGGACTGCACGTAAGGTAGTTTCAATTCGGTTTTTATCAATGGACAGATAAATTGGACGTTAAAAAACCTATGGGAAAATCGTACAGCATTCGAATACACTCCACAGTATAAATTAAACAGAGAGCGTGTACCGGAATCTCATCCAACAACACGGAACCGTACTACGCCAATTTTGCATTTCCTAAGGACAATGTGAACAGATTCATATATCATGAGTATATACACGCAATATGAACACATATACACAACATAAACATAAATATTCCACTAGAAGATGCCCCTTGAACACACAAACACAGCTTTACACATACACACCTGAGTCACTGACCACCTTGGTTCTACTGTGAGGAGGCATGTCGTCAGCTATAGAAAAGCTTCAAAGGTTATTAGATTAATATGCTTCTCGCTCCTAGTTCACACACGCAGGTGAGAAGACGCCCGACAAACACGCAAACTCAACAGTATGGTAGTATATAGCGCTATAGCCTTTTTACATATATAAAAATACTATACACGAGAATGGTTACAAAAAAGTGTTCATTTGTCTGTCTGTCCACATTCACAACTCCCAGTTTCCCACCACTGTCTCTATTTACTCTCAAAATCTGATGCAGCGTCCGCACTCCACACTCCCCCTGCGGCATAACGCTTCCCAATAAACGTTTTATAAGCAAACGATTTGCTTGAAATTGTGACTTGCGAGCAGTGTATCATTTTTACGTTAAAACGTATAAAATTCCATCATTTCATTTTGTGTTTACGTTCAAATGACAAGAAGAGGCTCGAGGGCTGTCATTTGTCAACTGGTGTCGAAATGATTTCTTTATTTTTCTGTGCAATCTCTGTACTTCTATGCGACCCCACAGGGCCCACACATGTTGAGGATTTACATAACAGGGAGTGAATGGGAGTGAATAGAGAGACGCGCTTAGAGAGACAAGCGGCTTGGTGTTTTATTGTATAGTTTGTTCGTATCTGTATGTGAGTTGTACTGAGACCTTTTACAGCTGTCGTGGTTCCTATAATAGTTGCTATAGAATATCTTTAAAACGGCAAGTGCTTAGTCTGCGTCGGTTGTTGTGCAACCCTCGCCAGTTCCACAACGGCGTTTGACTGTTCTATAGGTTGAATAATAAAATTTAAAAAACTCCTCAGCAAGGTTTCTAGGCTCTAAAGATATTTTTAAGATTGGATGTCCAAACAATTATGGATCCAATATGTTTCTCAGCCACAGGGATCAGTACACACGCCGTAGGCGTCCGCACATCAGCGAGCGACATTTGATTCTACAAGGAAGTTGGAAAGGAGAGATGGATAGGCTGACATGCACCCCTGCGCGTCACCGAGGGTTCGCATTACTGTACTTATGATTGCGAGAACATGTCAATCTTTCTTTAAACTGATGTTTTTACTAGTGCTTTCCATATCGAACTGTTTGATAGCGTCTTACCGTGTGTGATATTATACATTGAAAACTCTATTCACAGTAAAGCCCACACCTTTGTATAAGTGGCGTTTCATAGTCCGCATGCGACGTACAAGCACTGGGCTGATAAACTTTGGAGTAGTAAATAAAGTCAAAATTAACAAAAACAGTACGGAACTGTAGCGAAAAAGAGGTATACTTTGTAATTTTATTCCAAACACTATACCCGAAAACATATGCTACCTCTCTCAAACTGCTTGTGTATATACATGCTCGGTATTCGTTAGTGTGCTATGTGTATGCGAGTATGATCGGAGTATGACTGCTGGTAATACAAGTCGGTATATGTGCGATCTTATTCGATTGTGTTGGTTGATTTTGGCATACATATATTGCGCATCTACATATGCAAATGTGTTAAAGGCGGAGTCAATGTGTGCACGCGCATGTATAATTCTACATACATGTTTCCTACCCTTGGGCTGTTTCACTTTGAGTGTGTCTTGTGAAGTGCGTAAGTCCCCAATATACCCAGTCTCCAGGTTATTCCAGGAGATCGCTATGCACAATTTGTTATTGAGAATACCGATAGTATTGAGCAAAGATCAGGCTCCCGATGTATCCATGGTACCCTCAGCTGACCATATGAGGCGTGTTACCAATGAATGTATTCGCAAACCGGGCATTCTTTTTCTTATCCATGGAGGAGGTTTCGTGGCCCAAACCTCGTGAAGTCACCGGGCATATCTGAAGTAGTGAGCTCAACAGTTAGTAGAAGTGTTGGTGGCCACCATCGACTGCTCACTCGCAGCCGAGGCCAAGCTCCCTGTTGCGCTCGATGAAAGCTTCTACGTGTACGCGTGGGTGTTGCAACACACACACCAGATGGGTCATGACCCCAACAACACCAGCATATAGGATATTTGGTATTAGCACTTGAGACTGGCGCTTGCACAAGAGAGGATACCACCACCTAAGTTGTTGCAGGCAACCTACCCAGCTTCGTGTATGAAGAGCCTCATATCACCGGCGCGTCTGAATGCAGCGGCAGATATTCTGCTGCCACTCAGCGTGTTTGTCATTGCTATGAGTCCCTACCTCGCGAAGGACAAAACAAGGCACCTTCGGTCCTTTTTATCTCTTTGGCATGCACCCAAAGTTCCGTGGCATCCACACCCAAAACCAGAGAAGCGCACACGCACAGCAATGGTGTAACGCTTTTGAACACTACTACTACCAGCACAGGCCCTGACAGATCGGAGACAGATAATAACACTACTATATTAGGCAGTAATGCATCCTTTTTGGGCGGCAAGACCCCAACCAATTTGTCCACAGATGACATATGGAGCAAGTTCCCACCTACCTGTATCGCGAATGACTCCTCGTTGGACAACTCGATTGACTTTGCACACAAGCTGAGACGGGCTGGCGGTGAGGTGTATCTGCAGGTGGCCGACAAGGTGACACATGGATACCTACAACTCGACGATGCTAGAGGGGTGCACACACTCGCGCCGCAACGAAGGCATCACTGTCACATCTCTAGCAAATGTACGCACTGCCAAACACCAGCGACTGGGACATTGGTCAAACGGAATACGAGATGGGCTGGGTTTGGAGGGAGAGTCTGATATCTGATGCGGACGATAGCCTCGTTAGCACAATAAAAGTGATTGCTGCATATTCATAGTCGATTAAACGACCATGGCCGGGGTATAGTCTGCCCAGTAACTTTTGATGTGCAGACGCTTTATAACAACATCTTGTACGGTGAGTGGTAAAGTACAGACGGACAGTACCGTGTTACAACGAGGCGTGCAGTTTAGTACCAATTCAGACCTTTAAATTATCCGCATAACACAATAAATACTAAACTCTTCTCAACACCTAGACAACAATATCGGCCACTGCAGCTGATGAACTAATACTAGGTGTCGCGCGTTACCAAAGCAAATGCGATCATATATACGTACCTGTGATATCTTCCTTAATAAGTGGTGTGCGCATGCATCCAAAATTTACATACAGCGCTGCTTCGTGTTTCGTTGGAAACGGATCGAACATTGAACCTAATATAATAGAAAGACTACTTTTGTAGTCGTATACCTGTAACTAGGCGAGTTTGTATGGACACTGACTCACATCTCCATCGCACACCTCGCCTGACTCTCGGCGTGCACGCTTAATGCGCACACCATTACCCATAGTCAATGGGCTGGCCATGGTACCCAAATGACCCACTGCAGTGTGTGTGTGCCTCCAATGCAGTCGGTGCCAACCCATAGCGTTACCAATAATATATGCGTACCATTCCCGTGACCCACACACCGACGCCAAACGTAACTATCGGTTTGGGGTGGAGCATCATGTTGTATATAAGGCGCTTGGTGATAACCTAATTCATCACAACATCACAGTATCGGCCCACAGCGCTTGGATGATTCGTATTGCTAGTGTCCCATATACCAGCTCCAGCGAGCCAGATCACAGTGTTAAATCGTGCTCATGCACCAAATATGAGCGAATAAATACATTCATGTGTTATAAATAGGCGCCTATGAACTATAGTACTGCACCGGTGCTCAGGTTGAAAAACTGCACGATCACACATGGTTCTTACGAAGTGAGACGGCGACGGGCCGTTTTCAAAACGTTAAATCCTTTCGGGATCTCAAGCAGGCAGAAGGCACGGGGATGGGTTGAGGCTCAAGACCACTCAAAGGGAAGCTACAATTGTCTGTCTCATTTGTGACTGTTTGCCATGTCTACTAGTAAACACAATTGATCCGAAATCCCATACAGAATACGTACAAATCACGGACAGGTCAATGATGCTGCTTGTCTATTTTTAGATACACACGTGTGTTAGCGCAACGACTTATCCTACAGTCTGGTTGACTAATATACACAAACACACGCGCATGTATATGCCTGCGCAGATGGATTCTAGTAAGGCCCGAATCGCCCGGCTACCCTTCAGTCATTAAAGCCAGTAATCACGAGTGCAACAATCACTAGGACTCGAGCCAACACTATGGGATCGATTGCCGAAGAATTCATCAGCAGGTGCGAATGTTTATTTTATATGCGTATATAGGTAATCCTGTTGGGTATTCAAGGCCCCTGCCATACGAAATCACGTGCGCGCATGAGAGGCTATGACTCTGTACATTACTTGATTGCGATATGTAACCTAATTAATAAGACCTTTTGTAAGCCGTGACAGGCTCATACGGGATACCTCAGTTTCACGTTCTTGCTGACTATATTTATATATTTACCTACTAACTATCAGTGTGCACCCGGTGCCATTTTCGGGGCATTAATGGCCATTGTCAGTGACCCGAACAACTGTGCAAGGTCCACGTATGTCCTGGCGTTCTTTTGAATAAATGTCGTAACATGCGCGTGCACTCGGCTGATGTCATCCTTAAATGACGATGTTATGCGCTCAACACCTGAAGGCAAGTATATAAAAGTGCAGCAGAGATCAAGTCAGATTGTATCGATTTGTGATGTGTTTTAGGCAACACTCTGGCATATGTCAGTGTGCAGCTCGTTGTGTTCGCCAAAACCGGCCGTGTGCTGAGGTTAATTCGTATATATGTGTTATACCGAGTTTACACACAACTGTGATATGTACATTACATCGTGTGACAAACCGCTGTTTCCCGCACTGGTGACGGCTGAGGGCGACCTCTTCAATGCAGCGGTTGATAAAACAGGTACAAATACTACTATTACTAGGATGTCAATAAGAAGTTCACATATGCACGGTTTCTGAGTGATGCAGATACCTGGCGGCTTCAGTACAGGCAACTTTACACACAGCAATGATACATATATAACATCGCATGAACATGACAGAGACATGCAACTACAAGGCACCATCACAGGTAGCTTATCACACCACAATAACACATACATACCATCGCGTGACATTGCGTTGTTCCCTGCACTGGTGGCGGCGGAGGGCGACTTCTTCAATAGCAGCGGCAGATCAAACAGGTACTGGTAGTACGCCAGTTGGGTGAACAGCTGGTGTGCAGAATACTGACGGTGACGAAATAAGAGAATTGTGTCGGAATAAGACTATGAATATATAGTACGGCTATTGGGCGAGTAGCCGGTGTGCAGAGCACTTTTGGTGACGAAATAAGCGATCAGCATTGGAATGAGCTTAGTGCTGTATAGTACACCAGCTGCGTGGATGGCTAATGCGCGGAATACACATGGTGACGAAATAAGAGATCAGTTTCGAAAGCAGAATAGTCTTGAACTACAGCAGGACCATGTATAAGTACTAATCGTACGCCAGATACGCTACCAGAGCCATGAAATCCATTCACCTGGACGGAGCTACTACAGCTATTGATTACACGCGGCCCAAACCAAATCTAAAAATAGACTTACCTCTGGCGACATAGTACCGCGGCAGTAGGGTACCGAGCACCTCCTGCCACATACGGACACGTAGCGCGTACGATTCCTGCACGCTTGCTCGTCGCATAGCAGCCAACCCTGCGACAATTGAAGTTGGAATAGATATGAAATAACAGTTGGTGGATATTCACGTGATCGATGAGTCCATGAAACTACTGGACTTATGTCCATGAGCATGGGATATTGCACAAGCACGCAGGCGACATAGGCATCGACACAGCAGTAGATACTATAGTATAGTCATAGCACAAAGCACTGATACGATGCTAAACTTTATCATAAAAATGATATTTTTGCATCCATCAGCAAACACGTATCTGAATCTTAACTCGAGCACCAAATCGGATAGTACTACATCACGCATTCACATCTCTAGATCTGAAGTGGTACAGTATACCTGATAGTACTTAGTTATCGCCGCACGGATCAGCAGCGTTAATGTATTACATAGGAACGCAGGCGGCATAGCCTTTGCACAGCTCACACACGCCATAGCACAGCGTACATCCTCGCCCATGCTACTGATATCTCCGCTGAAAATCCCAGTGATCTCATTGGCGGTGCCACAGCTGGGACACTTCACAGAAAGCCCGTCCGCGTCCCTGTACTTCTCGGCGTCGGATATCTGTAGGGTATAGAGTCAAAGGTAGGCTATAGTATCAATTTGGTTCACATTTCAGTTGTAGGGTTCAAGGTTTGAGGATAATTTTTCGCAAGTACAGGAGTGTATTGGTATCAGTATATAATTTTTATACGTCCGTTAAACTCGGGATGTGTGCTAGTATACTCCTGGGGTATTTGCTGGGCAAGTGTAGAATGCCTGTTGATATAGGTATGGGCTGTGCGATAGCCTATTGAATTGCCGATGATTGAACCCTTGGAAGTGGCTTCATGTGGTTTATGGTACTGTGTATTTATCACACGCAGTTAAATCGTGTCTTCAAAGGCCAACCCGGTGCAGTTACAAACCACAACAGCGTACGCTTGACAACCAATCCGTGTTCCTTTGCCAACGTACCAATATGTGTGTAACCCCATCTGTGCAACTAAATAGCCCCACCCACTCCCCTATTACACCAACAGTGCCTACTATCTCCGCCTCATACCCACCTGTGTGCGTTTGTAGATAAGCTCGTCTTCCTCTTCCTGCTCCTGCTTGACATGGTAGCTGGACGCATCCAGGCCCAGGCACTCGGCAATCATGCGCGTGTCTGTGCCCTGGATGGGATCGCACAGACGCGTGACCACAGGATGGATCTGCTGTTTGAGGTAGTACGTGGCATCTGTGTAGAAATAGTATATTCAACAGGTAACTATACGTATTATATGCAAGACAATCATAGGTGATTTATCTATGAAGATAGTGAGCTATCTGGGTTGGTGAATATGTTGAGCGCAGGCGCGAACAACGCACATGGTTGTGCCTTGGAAAAAACTAAATATATATATGTGTGTGTGTGTGTGTGTGTATGTGTGTGTGTGTGTGTGTGTGTGTGTGTGTGTGTGTGTGTGTGTGTGTGTGTGTGTGT